GTTAGGCGCCTTCTAACACTTTCCCTTTTGAGGCGAATCGTAGTATTTGAATTGAGAGTTCACTTGTAACAAAGGCATTATTTTCCGGCCTGGTCGTCTAGGGGCTAAAGTTCGTGCCTTTTTAATACTGGGGTCCCCCGTGGAGAGAAGAGGATGAGTACTATGTTGGGGCACCACGCCATTTGCGCGCACCGCTGCGAATTGACCGACCAGGTGTCTGACGGGGCTCGGAAGCCGCTGGCGCTTTCTCTACTGGTTCCTCCTCATCCCCTTGGGCACCTTGACAGGAGCTGGGGGCACTGACATCAGATTTGTCGTCAGAGGGTTTGATTTGGCAAGACTCGGTCGAGTTTAGTGCACACATTTGAAAATGTGGTTAAGGGGCAAATCCAGAAGACCGGGTTTCTCGATCCACTCGAAACCAATTCAGTCAAGCTTCGGATGGTCGCTAAGGTAGCATATTCCTTTGACATGAGTGCCCTCAAAGGAAACGTCACATGCAAGCTCACCCGTGAGCCGGAGAAATCCACCAGAAACATTCATAGCTTTTTTTCGATGTCATCATTGGAGGCCGTCTAATTATCTGCCAAGTGCGCTTGGAGATGTGTCTGATGTCTGAGGTATCAAGCTGGAGGCATACAGGTTTCCCACAGAGAGTAACCGTAAGGTAGTTCCTTCTTGTCTCGAATTCAGTCTGGAATGTGACTAGGATTGTGTGAGAATTGAGACCAGAATAAGATTAAGGGCGTTTGGAACGGGTATTTCTTCTGTCGCCTGACCTTGATTTGAGGGGTTGGCCAGCCGGACAGTGGTCTCCCTTATGCTCATGTTTGTGGCATTTCTGACATGTGTGCTTTGTGAATGGACAAGAGCGAACAAAATGCCAATCACCGCACTGTCAGCATGCTGGTGGAGGTTTTCTGAATGTGGTGTTTTGGGACTACCGCGGCGACGTGGCCTTAGTGCGAGTGACAGCATGAACGGTGTTGATGGCAAATGAGGAACTGGGTTGCTCCACGATCGCAGAATCATGCTTAAGATTTCTGAGCTGTTGAGTGGAGTTTGGGTCCTGTTCAATCTTGACAAGCAGACGAGTTCTGGTTTTAGCATCACGAGGTGACTGCAGGGCGCTCACAAAAATGAAGCACTTGAATTGATCATCTGCCATCTCTTAGGGCTTGGACCTTTCGAACTCGCTATTTTTCAATACTGGCGAGTGTTAGAAAATTATCTGTCTCGTCCTTGACCAGCTTGAG